TGACTGGCTCACACTTGATCCTCCCGCTAAGTGTACCTGCGGAAAATGTGAGTGCAATGTTGAACAACGTACTCGGTCCTCCCATGATGAGATGCGGCTTCTGGATTTTTTGCTGGGATTAGATGACAATTTCTCCATTGTCCGGACCCAGCTTCTTTCGCTGAAACCAACGCCTACCTTGGGTGAAGCCTATCACATGGTGGCCAATGATGAACAGCAACGCCACCTCTCATCTGAATCTCGTCCGGCGTTTGAAGCTGCGGCCTTTCAAAGCAAAGGCGATCACAACGCGTCCGAGCCCCGAACTCCTGAGGGTCGTCCCTGGTGCACGCATTGTGAGAAACCTGGGCATTTTAAGGCCACTTGCTACGAGATTATAGGCTGGCCACAACGTTCTAGCAGTGCCAGCAACAATGCAGGGCGTTCAGGTTCAGCTGGTGACAAGCCCCTCATACGCAACAAATCCAAGCAGCCTCGTTCCGATCCCAAAGCAGCAGCTGTTGAAAGTGAGGTTGGCGGCAGCCCTGTTCCCGGCTTAACCCCAGCTCAGATGGCTCAACTTCGGGCTTTCCTCAATGCCGACATCAATCCGACTCCCATGGCTGGTATGGCAGCGAATATGTCAGGTAACTCTATTGATTCTTGTTCATGGATAATCGATTCTGGATGTAACGAACACATCGTCAAGAATAATTCTTTGTTTGTTGGTGGTTCCGAGAAACATGCTGATTTACAGGTTCGGATCCCCAATGGCAAGGGAGTTTCTGTTCATAGTATTGGCATGACACAATTACAGAATGGTCTAGTTCTGAATCGTGTTCTGCATATCCCGGATTTCCAATGCAATTTACTGTCAGTCAGTCGTCTTACTGCCGATCATCCAGTTGCAGTGGTTTTCTTAAGCAATTTCTGTGTGATTCAGGACTTAGCTTCGAAGAAGATGATTGGCATGGGGATTCAGAGTGATGGAATCTATTACCTGCGGTTTTTTGATCGGGGTCACCCGGTAGCTTTTGCGGCACAACAAGCCATGGGGAACTCGCAGCTCTGGCACTCTCGTCTTGGCCATCCGTCCGAGAAGAAGTTGTTGGCCTTGCAATCTTTTATTTCTAGTCCTTTGGCTTTGAATAAAGACCCGTGTGATTCTTGTTTACGGGCTAAGCAGACTCGACTTCCTTTTTCTCGCAGCAGCATTAAGACTCAGTCTTGTTTTGAATTGATTCACCTTGACATTTGGGGTGGTCTTTCTGAGCCCTCTTTCACTGGGGCACGGTTTTTTCTTACCATTGTTGACGCTTTCAGTAGAGCAGTATGGGTTTTTCTGTTGAAGTACAAGTCAGAGGTTGCTCGGTATCTGCTTGTTTTTCTCAAACAGGTGCAAACTCAGTATGGTAAGCGTGTTAAGCGCATCCAGGCTGATAATGGTCGGGAATTCAATACCCCTCCACTACGTGATTTTTACGAACAGGAAGGGATCATTCTCCAAACTTCATGTACGGACACACCACAACAGAACGGCGTCGTGGAAAGGAAACATCGTCACCTCCTTGACACTGCTCGGGCACTTCGTTTTCACGCTGGCCTCCCGCTTCGTTTCTGGGGAGAATGTGTCTTCACTGCAGCTTATCTCATTAACCGTATGCCTCTGGTTCCTCTCCACCACCAAACTCCATATCAAATTCTTCTTGGGGCTCCTCCTCGTTATGATCATTTGCGCAGCCTGGGTTGTCTCGTTTATGCTCGTGACAACCACAAGGGGCTTCACAAATTTGCAGCTCGTGGGCGCCCTGGTATCTTCATTGGCTAACCCGCTACCCAACGGGGCTATCGGGTTTATGACCTTGAGCAGCGTCAGATTTTCACGTCCCGTGACGTCACCTTTCTTGAGCATGTGTTTCCATACAAGGCATGCACATCCGCACCTTCTTCCGAGCCTTGCATGGCGTCATCTGAGCATGATTTCCTCAGCCCAGCACGTCTCCTTGATGACGTGCATGCGTCGCCTGTTGCACCTACCATTCCTCACTCCCCTTCCTCATTTACTCCTGCTACTCCACGTTCGCCAGTCACTCTCCCTCGGGTGGAAGATGCCACCCCGCTGGCTACTCAACCGGCTTCACCAGAACCTTCCTCTTCTGGCCCCTCGCTTCCTTTGTCATCACCCGCGGGTACCTCTACGCCTGTTCCCAGTCCCGTCGAGCTTGCCATGTCCTCTCCAGATTTGGACACTACTCCCGCCCCAGCTTTGCGACGAGGTGATTGTGACCGTCGCCCTCCTTCTCGGCTAGCCGATTATGATGTTCGTCTCCCGAACATGGCTTCTACTCATCATGTGGCCTATCCTATGGCCAACTACGTCTCTTATCATCGGTTGTCACCCTCTCATAGAGCTTATCTTGCTCGCATCTCTGAAGTCACCGAACCTAAGTTTTATTACCAGGCAGTTCGGTTTGAGCATTGGCGGATTGCCATGCAAACCGAGATCTCGGCCCTGGTTGCTAATGGTACTTGGACACTCACTTTTCTCCCTCCAGGAAAACGTGCCATCAAATGCAAATGGGTTTTCAAAATCAAGTATAACCCGGATGGCTCGATCGAACGTTACAAGGCTCGTCTGGTAGCAAAAGGATATACCCAGGTCGAAGGCATCGATTATCACGATACATTTGCTCCAGTTGCCAAACTTGTGACTGTCCGTTGTCTTCTCGCTGTTGCTGTTACAAAGGGCTGGTTTATTCATCAACTGGACGTGAATAATGCTTTCCTTCACGGTGACTTGGATGAAGAAGTTTATATGAAGCTACCACAGGGTTTCTCTCACCCGGGTGATAATCGAGTGTGTCGTCTGCACAAATCGATCTACGGGCTCAAGCAGGCCTCTCAGAATTGGTATCATAAGTTTTCCGCGGCCTTAGTTGAGTTCCAGTTTCGCCAGAGCCATGTCGACCCTTCCTTGTTTATCTATAATTCGGCTGGTTCTTTCGTTGCGGCTCTTATTTATGTCGACGATGTCATTCTCGCCGGCAATGATTTGTCGTTCATTCAGCGTGTCAAGCAGTTTCTTCATGCTCGCTTCACTATCAAGGACCTCGGGCCACTCAAATACTTCCTTGGGATTGAGGTAGCTCGCTCATCTCGTGGTCTCATTCTTAATCAAAGGAAGTATGTCCTCGACATCTTGGCTGAGACTGGCTTTCAGGCCACTCGCCCGTCTGACTCCCCTATTGAGCAGAATCACCAGTTGGGTCGTCTCGAGTCTCCTGCTGCTCCTGATCCTGCTGGCTTTCATCGTCTAGTGGGTCGCCTTCTTTACCTCATTGTCACTCGACCCGACATCACTTATGCTGTCAATCTTCTCAGTCAAGCAGTGCACGCTCCGACCCAGGCGCACCTTGATGCCGCTCATCGCATCCTCCGGTATCTAAAATCCTCCCCTGGTCGCGGCCTACTATTCCCCACTAATGGTTCTCTTACTTTGACAGCTTATTGTGATGCTGATTGGGGTGGCTGTCAAACCACCCGGCGCTCCACGACGGGTTACTTCATTCGCCTTGGCTCTTCTCCTGTTTCCTGGCGTACGAAGAAACAGTCTGTGGTTGCTCGTTCTTCTGCTGAGGCTGAGTACCGTGCCATGGCCACTACTGTCAGTGAGATTCTTTGGCTGCGTTGGGTCCTCACTGAACTCGGTGTCCCTCAAGCTCGTCCTACTCCGTTAGACTGTGATAATCAGGCCGCACTTCACATTGCCGCCAATCCTGTCTTCCACGAACGCACCAAACACGTGGAAATGGATTGCTATTTTGTCAGAGAGCGTGTTCAATCTCTCCACATTGCTCCCCGGAAGATCCCCACGGCCGAACAACCTGCAGACCTTTTCACTAAGGGCGTTGGCGTTGAGCACTTCCATCATCTTTTGTCCAAGCTTGGCATGTTTGATCTCCATGCTTGCGCTTGAGGGGGCGTATTGTGTTTTATTATTATTTAGTTCCCCTGATCCCTACGTAACTTGGTGATGGGATTAGGGTTGTTTTTTCCTTGGACTATTTAAGGCCTTGAACTTGTAGCGGCCGAACTACCTCTTCTTCTTCCTTTAGTTGAAACAAAAGAATAAGAAAACAGCCGAGAGCATCAGCTCTCCGTGGACTGGTCCAGCTCATCACCGAGCTGGGAAACCACGTAAAATCCCTTGCGTCGTCTTTATCGTTTTACCAATATCGAATTCTTTAGTGTTTGGTATTTAAAAGAATTCATTTTCAATTCTAAATTTTGAATTCTACGGAATTGGAACTAGTTATAGTAATTCCAAGGAATTGAGATGGAATTTTCAAATGAATTCTACAAGTATTTACCAATTATGATAAAATAACATAATTATTCTCATTTATTAATAAAATTACTTCTACATATATTATTTGGCGCCAATTCATGCAGAATAAGGAACGTCGACAAGAATTTGATTGTAAGTTTGTAACGCTAATAGCATATACTAAACACAGGAATTCATTTGACAATGAATTCTACACAGGAATTCATTTTAAAACGAAATGAATTCTAGATTCATTTAGTACCCAACGGTGTGTTAGAATTGCAATTCAACTACATTAATATTGTGCAATAAAATTGACATAAGTTGAATTGTATCGTTTATGAGATGGCAATAGGAATAATAATATATATATATGTAACTGGTACTGCAATGGAATCTTTGTATGGAGAATGCTTAAAAAATTTGATACAGAAAACGTCAACCATTTGGCGGAGGGTAGTAGTTGGCGTAGTTGCTAATCGCTTCATACTTTGTCCAAAATCCAAATCACAATTTTGTCGTTGAGACTTGAGAAAGAATCACAACAAGTAAAATATTTTATCGGATGTCCACGAAGGGACACAACAAGTAAAATATTAGTTTTAAGTACTTTGCCCATTTTAAGGTATAATATTTTAACCACATGGTTTTCCTTTGATTTTTGCTTTATTTGTTTTTTTTGGCCGGGAAGACGTTAAGTACAGCAAACAGTGAAAGGCTCAGCAGTCAGCAGAGCAGATGCAGTTATCCCAAATCGAAATTGAGCCACGGGACAGGCCGAGTGACTGATAGTGAGTCCGAAAGAGAGTGGAGGGAGAGAGAGAGAGAGAGAGATCTCCCTTCTTCTTCTTCTTCTTCTTCTTCTTCTTCCTCCTTTCGCTCTCAGATCTTTTTATCTGTAATGGCCGATGAACCTTCCGTAACTCGCTGGAGCTTTCAGGTATCCCTTCTGTTTCTCTCGCCGACTCTCCTTTTACCTGTTTCCATTTGGCTGACCAAAAGGCTGCGCTTCACCGACTTTCCTTTGTCCTTTGTATCGCTCCAAACGATCAATTGATTGCATTGCTTAGCGAAATGAATTTGGCTTCTCTTTGCTCCTTGAATCGAGTTTCCAATATGAATTGCTTGAAAATATTAAAGGGGTCGTTTGGATTAAGCATTTTGATTTGAGGGATTTATAAGGGATTTGTACTCAAATTCTGCACTTAAAAATCCAGGTAAATTAAATAAGGAAATTGAATCAATTTACTTGTTTGATAAGGGATCCATAATTGTCAAATGAGCAATTTATATTTTAATGACAAACCTAAAATTACTATTTTGCCTCTGCTTCGGATGATCTCTTCTCCGACGAAAGGGAAGCAGTTGCTTTGAGATTCGCCGGTCGGACAATCTTCTCTGCTTCGTCCTGCCTGAAAGAGCATACGAAAAGCAGAGCATGTAAGAGGACTTTTCCCTCCATAACCTTAATCATCTCCTATGGGCTATTGGGCTAACGAAGAGGCGGTGAGAACAATGACGGTTGCGGAGCGGCAGTCAGGAAGGAATCAAATCGATGGTGAGACGAGATGGCCGGCGGCGGCTAGGATGGATAGAGGAGTTGCAGAGGGTTGATTCAGGGATGGGGAGGATTTGGCCGACACATGAACATGGATGAGGGTTGCGGAGCGACGGAGAGATTCAGGGAGGATATGGTCGGCGACTGATGGGCTAAACCGAGGGTTGGGTCGATGTTTGGGAGAACGAGAGGGAGGGAGAACGAGAAACAGAGGGAGAGTTTGGAGTGAAGGCGGGGAAGACCCTCCCCAGATTGAGTTGTGGGTTTTGAGCACTTCGGCAGCGGCTGCCGGATTAAGGGGCTGTGGGATTTGGCGACTTGGGTATGGTGATTTGTTTGGTTGAAAGTAGTAGCGGTAGAAAGAGAGGAAGGGGGAGAGTTAAGTTAGATGATTTCTGTATGTCAAGGCATGGTTTCTGTATGTGAAGCTTCTTGCTTCTTGTTGTATGTCAAACATCTGTATGTCAAGATTATATGATGCAAAGTAGATGGTTTCAAGACTTTTCATCTGTTCTTAGCAGAACACTACCTTTCTCCATATAACAGAAACAAGATTGCATAACCAATAACATTTGCATATTGTTTGGCTATCAACAAAATATTGATATCAAACCCACAATAACAAGTCTTGCTACTGCGTTTTAACTTCCCTACCAAACACCATCTTCCAACAAACAAGAAACATACAGTATATCCCCAAAAAGCTCAACCCAGATCCCTATCATAAGCAATATAGAAAAATTCCAGCTCGTCCTAAACTCATTCGCCTTCATCCAAGCAATCCCCTAACAAAAGCCATCTTATATTCATCTGCCTCCAACGAATAAAATGTCACCAGGTCCCTATCGTTGTTAGAGAGCTTCCGCAATGCAGTAATGATATCAGTTGTGAGGCCTCCAAGTTCTTCCAGCTTCCTCAGCAGATTCGATCTCTTGCTAATGAGATCATCGCTCTCTCCGAGTGCTCTTGCAATAGTGTCAACTGATTGCTTAATCAGTGGTCGAAGTTCTCTCATTTCCTCATTGGAGTTGGCGAGGTGCTCATCGACTGTCTTACCTTTCTTTCACTTCTTAATTGGAGCACCATCGGTTGAAGCGGTAACACTGGCAGATTGATTATTCTGTGCTGCCATTTCTGCTTGTATTTCCTCCATCAACACATCATCCATTTCTTCATTTTCGACAGGTGCAGTTTCTTCATCCTCTAAATCGATAGCGTCAACAACATTGGTGTCGACCCCATGCTCACCACTTGCACGCCCTTTGCAAAAAACCGGTGCCAAGTCATCGTAGACAGGAAATCTTTTCTTGTTCAACCCTCTGCAGCTTGTGTGCTTCTGCAAGTCAGCAATATAAATACAAGAAAATGACAGCTTATATTAGAAAAGGAGTAGTTTATAGGACAGAAAAATAAAGATCAAGCTGTAATTTACCTTCTCAAACTCATCCCAAGATCCCTCGGGACATACAATGCATTTATTGACCTCGTCCCATCCCCAGCCACTTTGTTTCCTCATAAAAGTTATTGCATGCCATCTCTTCTTCAGTTTTTTGAACCTGCCTTCAATGTTAGGATATGCCTTGACCCTACATCCCGGCACTCTTTCCTGCAACAGCTTCTCTAACTGCTTATAAGCCCCATTCTTGCAGTTGCCGTCAACATTCAGCAAATGGCTTGTCTAGTTCCTCTTTCCAGTACGTATATGTCTTAGAGGAAGCACCGTCCATATCCTCATCACGTTGCTTTCTCTTTCCCATGCTGCAAAACAGAAGAATACAAAAGAGTGCAGAACTAATGAGAAGACTGCTCTTAACATTAACAAGCAGCATGTATTTCAGTAGCAAGAACAAGAACATTGGCACAACTACTCTTCATACTATGACCATCCTCCTGTCCTGTCCCTTGTTATTCACATTGGCACAACTTAGATTGGTTTAGTGTAGCATGCTCAAACATGTTTCTACCAACAAACAAACCACAACACCACAATAAACATTCAATCAGCTTCTTACAATGAAACAGAAAATCTAAAAACACACATTCTCCATTAGAATTGTATTTCAGCAGCAAGAACAAGAACAAGCAGCATGTATTTCAGCAGCAACAACATGATTATAAAGACATGGAACAAAGACACGGCAGTAAGAACAACTGAACAGGTCTTAACATTAATTCTGCGTACTTGTCAAAATAACTACCCTGAATTACAATTGAACATGTCTTAACCATTACAACTGAACAGGTCCTCAACATTAAATGAAAACAGCCATACAACCAAACAACAACGAATCAAACTCAAGAAGAAGCTCGAAATTTAGCAAGTCGAGTTTGCCACATCTCCGAGACCAAATCAGTCTTAAACTGATTCCACGCTTCAGTTGGTTGAGTGCTGGATATTCCGACCATATCAACTTCATTCGATCCATGTTGTTGTATGTCTTGGTCTCGAAATGTTCTTTCATATATATCGACACCATGTTCTTTCTTTATAAAATTGTGCAGAATGCAACAAGCTAGCACAATTCGAGCTACAACAGGTACAGAAAACCAAGTTGACTCCCTAAGGATTGCCCATCTCATTTTTAACACTCCAAAGATTCTTTCTACTACGTTTCTAGCTTGAGCATGCCTCCAATTATAGTATGCTTCGGCTGTTTGCGGCAGATGTCCCCTTGTTTCCTCAATATGGTATCTTGGACCCCGAATCGGGGTCAAAAATCCGGGACTATTAGCATAGCCAGAATCACAAAGATAATAACACCCTAAACCAAAAAAATATTCTGAATTAGATTTCCTAAACCCTTGAATCAAGTTTGACGCACATACCAATTAGTTTTATTGATTGTAATACAATTACCTTCTGGCACAACAAGGCCATTCGGCCTGTTCAATGCATCATTCAAGACCCTTGAATCATGGGCAGACCCTTCCCATCCAGCAAGACAGTAGATGAATTCTAAGTCGGGAGTACAAACTCCCAAACAATTCATTGTGAGATGGCCTGACCTATCTCGATACCTAGTTCGTTCTTCCTTCAGTGGTCGAACATCTATATGGGTCCCATCAAGAGCTCCCAAACAATTCTATATCAATGAAGAAGGAAAAAAATGTTACACAACACATTTAGACAAGTTGCTCCATAAGAAAGATTATAAGAACAGTTTTTAGTTGGCAAACCTTAAAATACTTCATCTTTTATTAATGGAATCAGCGGGAATTGGTTCAGCCTTCTTCATTAGAAGCTTGTTGAGTCTAAGGATTGCCCGCAACACCCGGTGAAAGGACCGATAAATGGTTTCTGAGGAACGACGCAAATCTACTGCTAAACTCCTATTTTTGTCACTATGTGAAATAGTTAAGAGGAACGTGAGAACCATCTCATCTATTTCTATGTTTCTTGTTCTTTTCAAACCACCTTCAGCAGCTAGAAGGTCACACAACTTTGTGAATAATGTACGGTTCATCCTGATCTTCCTATGGCTTTCGGTATCTCTCATTTTGGTACATTTGTAAATGACTCGTTGTCGATCATAGTGTCTCATCGTGTAACCATCTAAGGGCTGTCTACCAAGTCTAGGATTTACAAGCAATAGCTCTGTTAGTTTCATTACTTCCATCCCTAACTCGACATATATTATAATGAGATTCCAAAATGCGCTAATTGCCGCAATCAGCTTGCGTCTTTCCATTGAAGACATCCTTGACAGCCGAGACATCCTTGTGAAATTAAAATTTTAAATTAGTTAAATAAGTACATCAAACAATCAATTCGACATAAAGAAATTCCTGGATTCCAAATTTAACAAGCCATCCAGTACACCAAATCACCCATTCATATCAAATCATAACATTCACTCAAATCAGTACACAAACCATCCATTCACTCAACTCAGTAAGATAACATCAAGTGATACTTATTATTAAGAATGTAATACTTTGAAAAGGAGTTACTGAAGACCACACACCATTTCTGGGAATTTGTTCAGGGGAAGAGGCGACTTTGGATGGAGTTGCCGATAAACCAGTCTCACCTAGTGGATTCAGTAGTTAAGGTAACTCAAAATCACGCCTCGGTTTAAATTTCACTTCTAGGGTGGGCTTTTTGTTCTTAGGTTTCTAATGAATTGAATGAACTGGTGTCTGGGATTCCGTTGGTTACAAGAAGGCTTTAGGTTTCACCATGCTGAATCAGATTATGTAATGCTCGTGCGTTGGCTGCCTAAAGACGAACCTGATACTCTCCCTATCAATGCATCTCATCGAGTTGGTATTGGGGCATTTGTGCTCAATGAAAACAAAGAGATAAAAATATTGTTCCCCTTCCTACCATTTAGCACTATGGACTGAGGGGCCGAAACCCATGTTCGGAAACGCTTTTGAAGCAAGTTTTAATCTCTTGTACGAATCAAATCGTACCCAAATCAAGAACCCTAGTTTCCTTTAATCAAACAGAATGAGGAAGAAGATTCATCAGTTCACACCAATACAGAACCCTAGTTTCATATATTCAAACAAAATGAGGAAGAAGATCATTCGCACCTCAACCCAAACTCTTAATTCAATGAGGAAGAAGATTCATCAGTTCACACCAATACAGAACCCTAGTTTCATATATTCAAACAAAATGAGGAAGAAGATCATTCGCACCTCAACCCAAACTCTTAATTCACATAAAAAAGAAAACAGAGCCCCGACCCAGAACGGTTCAAGCATAGGGAGGGAAAGGAGGAAGGGAGGACGAACCTGAAAGCCGAGCCCTGAATTTCACCACCTTGTTACCCTCGTGCGCGCGAAACATAGATCCCACGCGAAGCTGGTGAGATCGAAGATGGAGATCGGACGCACTTCAAGGAGAACGCCGACGTCGCTATAGATCGGAGCTGGTAAAACTCTGCTACAGTCGCCGACGTCGCGAGGTTTATCTCCGCTGCAATCGCCGACGTCGCTAGGTTTTTGAGTTGCTTGCAGTTGTCGTATCGGGAGGGAAGAAAGAGATGCAGATGGGAAAGAGAGATGGGAAGTGGTGGCTGGTGGGTCGTCTATTCAGGGGAGGGCAAGAAAGGAATAACAAAAAATAAGGAAGGATATATTGGGAAAGTTTGGGAAAAATGAGCAGAGATTTCAAAAAACCTGGGGTCAATCAGTTATTTTAAATTTCCTAATAGCAGGATTTTCGAAATTCCTAATCCCCTAAATCTCTCATTTTTATTTTTCTATCCAAACAAAGAATTGTGACCAAATCCCTTATGACTAGGGATTGTGGCAAAATCCCTCCTCAAATTTCCTAATCCAAACAACCCCAAAGTGTGAATCGTTGATGTGTTGTGAGGAGCAATTTGCATTGAAGCGTTGTTAGTTCCAGCGTTACTCATTAAGTTCGGATTTTGTGCTGTGCTGGGGCAGATGCTGTGTATTATAAGTTGTATTCTAAGTGATAGTTTGGGCAAGATGGTGCAATTCTTTAAGAGACTAACGCTGTGCTTAGGATTTCAAAACCAACTATGATGCCAAGTTCGGAAGAAAGAAAGCACCAGATTCTGAAAACGGCGCAGCTGATCGATCAGTCCCCAACGGGGATTCTTCTTGCATTGCTGCTAACGGTAACGGCCACGTGAAGAACTCATCTGACATGGCCATTTATGAGCAGTTTAGAAACCTGCAGGTACTGCAATGGACCGAATGAGTTGTTTTTTTATTGCGCTATGGCATTTGCAGGATCTCACCAGCTGAAAGTTGACCTTTATTTGAACTTTTTTTTTTTTTTTTTTTTGCAGAACGGGAGCTCAGGTCTCCCCAATGGAACTTTATCCAATGGAGTCAATGAAGTGCCGTATGTATTTCTTATCCAGTATTGTTTCGCAATTTAGTGTTCTGGGGCTCCTTTAGTGGATATATTCGAGTTATATATTAAAATTTGGACTATCTTAAAGCCGCCTTAATGTCTAATGCTTGACTGATAGATGTACAGCACTTCTGTCAGTATATACTAAAGATGTATCCTGGTTCAGAATCTAAACTGGCGCAACTTTTTTTAACAGAAAATATTAGCCTCAGTTTCCGTAGTAGGGTGGAAATGAATGTTTTTATCCAACATTTAAGACCAGGCTAACCCTTAGTAGGTTGAATTCTTACAAGTGCAACAATATGAAACTGTGGAATGGAGTGAGAACTCCATTTTTGCTGAACACTCGTTTGATCTTTGGTGTTCTTTCTACGCTCAGGCAGAAGTCCTTGCTCCCTGCTTTCGATTCTGCTGAAACACGCTCTTTAGCTGAGGGTTTGTGCAGGTAATGCTTGAGTTCACCCCATAATATGTGCTGCGTTTCCTGCTTTGCTTTGTCTCTGCTTTTGTTGCTTTTGGGTTTGAGTTTAATCATCAGAAAGCTGTTGCTCTTATTAAATTTGCTTGCCTTACTACTTCACATATTCAGGGATATTATTCGTGGGAGTCCAGATGTCAAGTGGGAAAATATCAAGGGGTTAGAGAATGCGAAACGCTTACTGAAAGAAGCAGTGGTCATGCCAATAAAGTATCCCAAGTATGTGCTCTTATTGCCACAGTATATAATTTTCTAAGGGTCAGCAATTGAGCATACGAAAGTTGTTCTAGTAGTCTCTCAAGTTCATTGTTCATATTTAGGCTGACTTTCACTTTTTAGGTATTTTACAGGTCTTTTATCACCATGGAAAGGCATTCTTCTTTTTGGTCCTCCTGGGACGGGGAAGGTTTGTTATCTTGTCTATCCTCCCGAATTTCCCTGCCTCATATTGTACCTGATAAATAAAAACGTGAATGCCTTTGGAAGTTTATCCCAATAAGCAGATAATATAGTGGAATCCATTGATTTGAAAACTATTGTCTATGGCTGCTGTTTTCTGCGCTTGCAATAGTACTGCAATCAACTAGTCAAAGGGAAATGTTGGAAACTTCTGGTAATACGTTCCTTTTCATTGTATCTTACAACTTTCTATTTCATGTTTCAGACAATGCTTGCAAAGGCAGTTGCTACGGAGTGCAAAACCACATTTTTCAATATCTCCGCATCTTCTGTTGTTAGCAAGTGGCGTGGTATGTAGTAGGCAGTCAGGGGGTCTTTTTAGATGAGTTGTCTGGTTCTCTAGAATGTGAACTATAGCTTTTTGCAATGCTATTTGATGACTTTAGGTAATAGGAGAGCAATCCTTGAACTATGGGTTGAATGATATCTTATGCATTAATTGGGGACATAATGGCCTGTTGTTTAAAGTTATTCAGCCGAGATGCTAAAATCTATGTGATAGATTTAATATCCCGGAAAAAGCTTATAAAATTTCAATATTTGAACTTATTTGGCCTCAGATGCTGTTAAACACCTTAGTTTGCTTGTATAAGAAGTGTGTCTAATGGAAACTGTTAGCGTTTCTGATTAGAAAATTATTTGTGCTCGTCAATATATGGTGAATTCCTCTATCTGTAGTTAACATAAAACTGTTTGAATAGTACTTTTAATGTGTCTAATTATAAGGGCGTTCACTATTGCAGGGGACTCAGAGAAGCTAATAAAGGTCTTATTTGAGCTTGCTAGACACCATGCACCATCAACTATATTCATTGATGAGATTGATGCCATTATTAGCCAACGTGGTGAAGGTCGGAGTGAGCATGAAGCAAGCAGGCGTTTGAAGACTGAGTTGCTCATTCAGGTGATGTTCTTTTTTCCCATCTCCAAGTCCAACCCACTGTCCTTTTTTTCGTTTGTGGTCTGGCGTCAGTATGTGATCTTGTTGATGTCTTTGAATTGTTGAAGCAGTAAATTCGTCCAAACACCACATACTCAAAAAGTCAATTATATTTAGATTGCAGATGGATGGATTGATGCGAACAAATGAGCTCGTATTTGTTCTGGCAGCAACGAATCTCCCGTGGGAATTAGATGCAGCCATGTTACGCCGCCTTGAGAAGCGTGTATCCTTTTTTCCACGCTTCCACAATCTGTCCTTTTCAGTTTTCACTTTCATCTTCCCTTGTCATTCCTTCAAAATAAAAGCATTTTGTAGTTCATATCATTTCCAAACATTGTTTCCCATGACCCCAAAACTTTAGATCCTCGTACCTCTTCCCGAGCCAGAAGCAAGAAGAGCCATGTTTGAAGAACTCCTACCATCCAGAAGTGACGAGGCAGAGCTTCCCTACGACGTTTTGGTGGAGAGGACAGAAGGTTATTCAGGTTCTGATATTCGTTTGGTTTGCAAGGAAGCTGCTATGCAGCCACTAAGGCGTGTCATGGCTATCCTTGAAAACAAGGAGGAAATCGTGCCTGAGGATGGTAAGTCACTTATTATGTTTGTTTGGGGAATTATGCTCAAGTCTCCGTAGCTACTCCATATAGCAAGGAGCTGCAGTGAATTTTTATTTAGGCCATTGCTACTTAAGCTTTTAACTGTGTGTTGTTGCTTTGGTGTTTCAGAGCTGCCGCAAGTTGGGCCAATATATGGTGAAGATGTAGATACTGCTTTGAAGAACACAAGGCCGTCTGCACATCTTCACGCCCACCGGTATGAGAAGTTCAATGCAGACTACGGGAGTCAAATTCTCCACTGAGGGCAAGTATGGTTTTAACCTTACATATTTATCTTGTGAATTAGTGTGGCTGTGTGTGTGGGTACGTAGGTGTCCAGATGATTTGCCCGTTGATTTGTGTTTCTGAAACTATGTTCTTAATCAGCATTCAAGTCGAGCTCTTCAACTGATTCTAATTTCAAAATAAAGGTTTGGTGCTATGGTGCAGATCTCTTCCCTTGTAAGTTGTAATATGCTAGTTTATCATTTCTCGTCTATTAGTACTCCAAGCTTGAAAAGTTAGTGATCTAAATTTCTAACCTTGTAGTGGGTCGAAGGATAACAGTTTTACAAGGGATCTATTGTTGTTTTCCCCCCCAAAGTCAGGGGTAAAGAATTCAGTCATACAGAAGCAAAAAGAAGAGCACGGGAATCGACCAATAGTCGAACTCTCGATGAGAGGGCTTTTTGTGCCACATGATGGGCGGCCCTATTAAGTTGACGAGACACAAAGCAGAACTGGATCCAATTGAATTGGGACGCCAAGTGACGTGCGTCTTCTAGCACTGCTCCCCCTCGATCATGAGCGAAGTCTCCGTCCACCATTCGCCGTATTAATTGTTGCGTCCCCATGAAATTTGACAAAAACAAAATCATGGGTCAGGCACCATTGAAGGGCATCTCTTAATGCTAAATATTCCATAACAAATGCATCATGGATCCCTTCGTACCATTTACCAAACGCAAAGAGGACATTACCTGATGTATGGAAGCCTACGAAGCCAATGCTTCCGCCTCGATGTCGTTTAGCCGCCCCATCAAACAAGACTGAGATTGCATTCGAAGGGAGTCCAACTCCAGCAGCGAGGGAGCTGGTAGCAGAGGGAGGATGGGGAATAGTGTTCCCGCGAGCAGGATGAGGTGCTGCCTCACCCGCTGATCTCCACTCCTCCACTTGCAGCTGGTACTGTCGGAAAAAAGAGTGGGGAAGGTATTGAATATGACCGTGTACCGACCATCACCTGCCCTTCCAAATTCGCCAGAGAATAAACACCATATCCGCTAACTCCATCTTGGAAAGGTTCATGGAGAAGAAGAGAAAGTTCCACGCATCGTCTGGGGTCATGCCATTTACGGCCGCTATCTTGTCCTCAAGATTCGTCAGTCGCTATAGTCCTCGAGCAATCCTGCATGTGAAAAAGAAGTGGAAGAAGGATTCTGGTTCCTCCGAGCAAATGGGGCAAATAGTGTCAGAGGTAAGCGTTTTAGTAAATAACACAATTTGCAGTGGAAGAAAGCCACGAACTGCCCTCCATAAGAAAAATTTCAGCTTCGGTGGCACCGGAAGACTCCAAAGAAGCTTCCAAAATCGGGTCTCAAATGGTAGTGCTGTCGGCGGATGCTGGAGATCGTGTTCAGCGGATAAGACTTGGTACCCTGTCTTAACAGTGTAAACTCCCGACGGAGAGTAGTGCCAAATCAACTGGTCAGTAGCAGCCGAGGTAGGAAGAGGAATAGATAATATAAGTGCAATACTATCCGGCACAAATAACGAAACCAACAATTCCTTATTCCACGAATGAGTCACATGACATATTAGTTCCGACACAAGAATAGGATAGGAACTCACACCTGGCCGTAAGACCGGGCACGACGGAGGAGACGAGGGAAGCCAGTGATCGTGGAAAATCCGGATCTGGGATCCATCGCTGACTTGCCACTGCAGGCCTCGTAGGAGAATATTCTCCCTTCCAAGAGTCATTGCCAAGCCCAGGAAGGGCGGTTGCCAACAGTAGCATGAAGGAACTCATGTTAAGGATGATACCTTGCTCTATACATTCGGGCTAAACAGCTAGATTGATTGTGGAGTACACGCCAAGCCTGTTTAGCTAGAAGTGCAACATTAAATCGGTTAAAGTCACGAAATCCAAGTCCACCCGTAAACTTACTCTGGTATAGCGCGTTCCAAGAGATCCAGTGGATGCCTTTTTCCTTATCCTGTCCAGCCCACCAGAATTTGGATAACTGACTATTGCACCTGCGGCAGGTTTCTTGAGGTAGCCTGAAAGCCGACATAGCATTAATCGGGCCAGCCGCCCCAATAGCTTTGATCACCACTTCTTTAGCCGCTAATGACATTGCCGTAGTCTTCCAACTGCGGATGCGAGCAGACAGGTCTTCCTCAATGAATTGAAAGGACAGTGACTTCGATCTCCTCAGCTGAGAGGGGAGGCCTAGGTACTTGTCATCCGGGTTCATAATCCCAACCCCAAGGTAAGCACTAATGGCTTGAAGTTCCTGCTCAGAGACATTTCCACTCACACTCACAGCAGACTTGTGTAAATTTACCCTTTGTCCACTATACAGCTCAAAGTCGGATACTAATTGAAGCAAATTTGCACATTCCGGGATAGAGGCTCTAAGGAAAAGATAAGCATCATCTGCGAAGAATAAATGGGAAAGTGAGGGAGCTGACCTGTGCATCTTAAGATCATGCAGTGAGGAATTAGAGATCGCTTGGTTGATCTTGGCAGCAAACGCTTCAGTGTAAATGGCAAAGAGCAGGGGCGAGAGAGGGTCACCCTGGTGAATTCCACGTTGTGGATGAAAGTATCCATACTCAGCCTCGTTGAGAAGGACCGAGAAGCGAACTGTAGTGATACATGCTTTAATCCACATCATCCACTTCTCACAGAAACCCATGGAAATCATGACTTGAAATAGAAATTCCCACTCCACTCGGTCATACGCCTTTTCCATATCCAGTTTGAGAGCCATCCACTTATCCTGTCCACGAGTCTTAGTTTTGAGGAACTGCATAACTTCTTGGCCAATAAGAATATTATCAATTGTACATCTTCCTCTCACAAAACCATTTTGAAAAGGACTGACAATTAAGGGCAGAATGTTACTTAGTCTTTTGGCTAAAATCTTGGAGATAGCCTTATACAACACCTGACAGAGTCCGATGGGTGTCATTTGCCTCATGGAATCAGCATTGGCGACTTTTGGAATGAGGGTCGGCAGGGTGTGATTAACACTATGGAGGAGGTGGCCTGTCCCGAAGAAAGAAAGTATCGCCTCTGAAACTTCGGATCCAATCTCGTCCCAAAACCGTTGATAAAATGCGCCTGTAAATCTGTCTGATCCCGGGGCTTGATGTTTAACGATGCCAAAGAAAGCCTGCTTAATCTCCAAATGGGATACCTGCGACGTAAGCTGATCATTCATTGCGGAGTTAATCTTAACAGGTAGATGCAAGCTATCCACAAAAGATGAGGGGTCAAAACCATTAGAAGTGAATAAAAGATGGAAATAAGACACTGCAACTTCCCCCTTTACTGATTCAACAGTTTGTAAGTCGCCTTGGCTGTCCCGTAGAGCTGGGATATTGTTGGCTCTCCTTCGTTGCATCACAGTCAAATGAAAGAAGTGGGTATTAGCATCCCCTCCATGAAGCCATTTGACCCGAGCCTTCTGTTTCCAGTAAAGCTCCTCTTGTCGATATGCCTCCGATAACTGACTTTCTAGTCTGTTGATTTCATTCCAATCAACTGCAGCAGCGTCCCGAACAATGTCAATAGCTCCACGCAGTTCCCGAATTTTTTGGGCAGAGTTGGTCGTACCAGCCTTGGCCCACTCCAATAGCTCCTGGCGAACATATTTTAGCTTGGTGTGTATCTTGAAAAGTGGTGTACCACTCACTGGTTTGTGCCATGCCAATTGAACAAGAGGGGGAACATCTGAGTTGAAGTCCCAACTTTGATCATAATGAAATCGCCTCACATGCCGAACAACTGGTGGAATGAATCTCAGCAGTAGCATGCGGTGATCAGACCCCCTGTCTGTAAGGTGCTGTACCTGCAACTCCGGCCACAAAGAAAGAGCAAGAGCATTAGTCAAACATCTATCCAATCTAGCTTGGATGTGATCTCCATACGACTGTCGATTGGACCAAGTGAACGGAGGGCTGATGAAGCCCACGTCTTGAAGAGCCCCGGCATCTAGGAATTGACTAAGTTGACTCAGCGCTGCTGGAGTTGGAACTCGATCTCCCTACTTTTCAGAACTAGACAGTAAGCAGGTAAAATCTCCAATCACAAATATCGGATCCTCATACAACGACACTAAATGGGAAATTTCATTAAGTTGGAATTGCCGGGGGGCAACATCGCAGTGCAAGTGAACAAAGACTACAACGAAACGTCCATGAGATGAATGCTCGCATTCTAAAAACAAAAAACCTGAAGACTCAACAGCAACAGAGACACCTAAACAAGACGACCAGGCAATAGCTAATCCACTCCCGTTATTAGACGCACTATGTACACGCTCCTCAGGGAAGCCAAGAATACCTAATTGATCAATAACAAACTCATCATCTCGCCTAGTTTCACTTAGGCAAACCAAGAAAGGAGAGTCTCGCTGGACCACCTCCTGAAGAACCGGAACTGTTAGGGGCGCCCCAAGCCCCTACAGTTCCAGGCAAGGATGCTCATGGATCGGCCTGGGGCCGATTAGGGCCGGCTACCTCCACCCTGTTGTCCTGATCTGCAACCACCACCTGCTCCTGGGGTCCAAGTCGTACCCTTTTGGCCTTTGGTTCTCCATGTTCGAGCATCTCGTCGCCAGCTTGCTGAGGGGTCTCAGTAGGAGAGCCCGGGATAGATGATATGTATAGCTGCCGGAGATGAGTAGCCACCCCCTGCGGAGGAGAGATTTCCTGTCGAGCAATCGCAGTAGCGCACCCTGGAACTGGTCTGATGTTGCCAGCATTCAGCGCCAATCGTGCGCCAGCACTATTCCCAACCAAGGTCCAGACAAAGAGCTTACGTCGGCGCGCCAACGTGTCTTCACGCACCCGAGGCCAAAATTCGCTCGCCACCAGGTGTTTCCCATATCTTGGGGGCTGCACAGCAAGTTCATCCTTTTAGGGCCAGAATCTGTTCACATGCCCAATCACCCCACACAAGAAGCAGAACTGGGGGAGGGACTCAAATTTCACTTTGACCTTGAAGCATCCTTTGGAAGGGTCTTCGTGGGAAGCAGAAACTTCATCAGGGAGAAGCAGGTTCACATCCAGGGAGACCTTGGATCTGATGTAGAGCCCGCCAGAAGACACCGACCGGTGGATGGTAGCTTCCTCCGCCGGTCCTAAGGCCGTTCCCATGAGAGACCCGAGCTTCTCAGTACAGCAGTAAAATGGAACTCCCCAGAATTGTGCCCCCAAGGGAACCTTGAGAAGAGCAGCCGCCAATTCAGTCGTCGGCGTTTCCCACTTTCGCACATGAATGAGGAACTTTTCAAAGATCCATGGAGTTCCGGAGAGGATTCGCTGGGCAGTCTCAGAATCCGGGAGGACGAACTGGAGGAGATCCCATTCCACCACCGCAACTGAGAAATCGCACTTCCAAACTCGGCCAACAATCGATCTCAGAGTAGAAATCGAGGGGAGCGGGCCACAGAGCCGACCAATCAAAGTTCGGTCAATTCGCAGGGCACCCACCGCTACATCGGCATCGTTGAATTGAACTGCCGCCATCGTAACCGGGGAAGCTAATAACAATTGAGGGTTTATGCAGAAGGGGGAAAGCAGATTCAGCAAGTAAGAGTTGTGTGGAGCAGAGTAATCGTACGAGGGATCCCCTTTTATCCTTTCTCCGACGACTGAAAGCCGGATCCGACGGAGCACGTAGCCGGAGGCGGTTATCGCCATTGTCGCACGGAGGCGAAGAGCCCTACCCACTCGCCCGACGTGGGGAGAGAGGAGGGAGAATTGGGAACATTTTTTTTTTAAATTTCCTGCGCAGGTCTCCTACGGGAATTATCTATTGTTGTTTAACCGAATTGAAAATTGGCCGAGCAAGAACAAAACATATGCCCTTCACAACCTAGTGGCCGGCCTGGAAATTTCAATTTGAAACCAACATTTCGATCATATTTAGGTTCATCGAACCAATTTTTAAGATTTTTTAGATAATGGCACTGTTAGCCTCAATATTTAATTCTAGAGTGATGGATGGAATCAATATTTGATTTGAATCAGCTAGGGTTGTGATGGATTAAATCAATATTTAAGTTTATGTGAATTTGTTGAGGGTAAATACCTCAATGGTTCCAACTTTGCATAGATAGATAAATAAAGCCCCACTTTTTCTTAAAAACAAATATGATATGATTTTCATGAATAAAGGACAAATTTGGCTGGATTTTTTTTACATTGTTGTTACAAGATCTAATTGAACATGATTAACCAAATAAATAGGCGGCCTATCAAACAATCACAATTTCACCCCACCGTGTTTTCGTGTGTGCCATTATGTGCGCTGTCTCATTTGCTTCGTGTCGAATATGATGCTAGTCCCTGTCTCCAGAAGCAAGCAAAAGTCGCCGGATGTTCCTACACACCACACCCAGCTCAGAACGAAGGGTGTTCGGGTTATGGAGTTTCTGAACTAGAGATGAACTGTCAATCCCCCATGGATAGGTTCGGGAGCTCAAATTGTGTGGTGAGTTGCACAACCATTTCCGCCGCAACAACCTTCGCCATCTTGGGCTGGAAATTTCCTCGCACTCACCTAGCAGCTGCAAGCACAACCTTCCCTTTCGAGTTGCAAATGACAACTCCTAGCCTCGTGCCTCCTCCTTGAACTTGTCCTGCGTTTGTATTGACTACAACTCGGCCCGCCGCCGGCTTCCTCCATTGTCTTTGTGCAGCGGTTGCTGACTCGGTTATGTCCTTCACCTGGTGCCGGAGATATTCCTCGAGGAAGAACTTCGCAGAGGAAGTCCTGCACGCTAAGAAGACTGTGCCAGAAAAAACTCCGCCGATATCCCACGCTTGCCTCCAATAGAGAATCGTTCTTATGTTATTTGGCCTTGAAAATATGGGCAATGAGTGATTCTGGGTTCTGGTGTAGTCACCATAGCTGTTTTGCTAGCAGGTACACATTCAAGCCTCAGAGGTCCCGAAAGCCCATACCTCCTTCATCCTTCGGCATAAGGAGTTTTTCCTGACTAATCCAATGTGCTCGTCGTTCTTTGCCTCGCCCACCAAAATTGCATAACCAGGATATGAACCTCGTCGATAACTCCCTCTGACACCCTGAAGACCGACATATGATAAGATAGTTGATTCTGGGCCACGAATTTTATTAAAATCTATCTGGCTGCCACTGATAGTGTCTTCTCCTTCCAACCCTTCAACTTCTTTCGAACTCGTTCTACGAGCTCAGTAAACAACTCATTCTTTGAACGCCAACAATTGTATCCAGGCCAAGATATTTATCATGGTTTAAACTAGCTTCATACCAAAGATATCGCTGATCTATAACCTGCATTGCAGCTTCACATTGGAGCTTAATGATACTTCTGACTTCTAGAAACTCACTAACTGTCCCGATTCCCTTTCATAATCCGATAGATTCCTTTTCTAGCTCCAAACTAGCTTGAGTAGTGGCTCTGGTAAAAAAATATACTATCATCAGCAAAGAACAGGTGAGAGACTTCCGGTGCCCGTGAGCCGATTGAAAACCAAGCAGGCGCTTTTGGGCTTTGGGCGACGAAGTATAGTCTGAAAGACCCTCCGCACTGAGAAGGAAGAGGTACGGTGATAACGGGTCTCCCAGCCAAATTCCCCGACCCGACCTGAAAACCGCAATTGATGGCCATAAACAAGCACCGAATAGGAGACCGACGTAACACACATCATTATCAGCTTCACCCATCTATTCGCAAACCCCATTTTAAGCATGAGTTTCTCGAGGAAGTACCACTCTACCTTGTCATAGGCCTTCGCCATGCCAATCTTCGTAGCCAAGCATCCCACCTTGCCCTTTGTCTTCTTGTCATCGTATGGAAGCATTCAAAAGCCGCAATGACATTATCATTATGAATCTACCAGGAACAAACGCAGATTGAGCAGGGGAGAACAGTTTGTGAAGTAGAGTCTTCAGCCGATTAGCTAGCACTTTCGACACCAATTTATAGATGACGTTGCACAACCTAATTGGTCTGAATTCTTTTGGGGAAGTCGACGTCTTCACTTTTGGTATCCGAGCTATAATAGTATGGTTAATCTTGGGCAACATCATCCCAGTATAATAGCTAGCACTTTCGTTGGTTAAATTTGACCTTCGATTGGGATGTTGTAGTTAGAGCTAGCCAGTTGACCAAATGGATTATCGAGATAGGGTTATGTTTTATACAACTATAACTAGGAGAAGTACTGGTCATCTCAAGTACCAAAAATAAGCAAACAAATAGGAATGGCCTCTTGGCAATTGGGGGGAAAAATCTCAAAATACACATGCAATTAATTTCCCCCCCAAAAGTACGTAAGTTATATATTTTTCCCCCCACAAAGTACACATGTTTGACATTCACAGCCTTTGTCAAACGCAGTGAATATCATTACCGCCGAAGACAATAATGGTGATTCAATCACCTCTTTAAACAAAAATGGTGAATGCATCACCGTTGTAATAAAATGAGGGGATAAAATCACCGCGGTCGTTTACAGCAGGGAATATTTCACCGCATCCGTTTACAGCAGGAAATATTTCACCGCATCGAACGGCTGCGGTGAAGGGTTGGGGAACGCGGATTGCTGACGTGGAAAAACGCGGGGAACGCCCTGCTGTCCACATTAGCGATCCGCCTCGCCTCGCTCCTTCACCGCTGCCGTCGGATGAAGTGAGGCGCGGATTCTGATTTTCCTCCCGGATTCTAGTTTCGTTCTAAGTATGCTCTGTGGTTGCGGCTAAGTCCGGTCTTCCTCATCAGAAAGAATTCCTAGAGTTATATCCTAAAGGCCTCCCCTGTAAAAACCCGTTGAACCTCTGTCTGGCTTCCACCACAAAATGGACAAAGAGGCTCTTCGAGTACGCTCTTGGTAACCCTTTTGTGATTTATTTTTTGTAAACAAAACAATATGATTTCATTGCATTTTTTTATAGATGGGTATCGAGATATACGATCCGTAATTGTATATCCTTTATTGTAAATTATTTCATTCTTTTAAAATATTTTATTTTGCTTTCCTTTGACTAACAACTTGGTGTTTTTTGTAGGAATCACTTCTCCCCGTCATTCATAGAGGGACCACAAACTTGCACGCTTGGCATGATCGACTCTCGCTGTATCTAGAGAGGACGAGATTGGGTATGGTGAGACACTTCAATCATATACCATAATTAATCTAAATATCGCTAACTACTTATATTTGCCATTAACAGTAATTCATTAAATAGATACATATAACTACTAAACCACTTGGATGATTTGGACGATTTTCAGCAGCAGCTACGTGGGACGAGATATTTATTTGACAAACAGAGTGCATTCACCGCCGTTGTCTAAAGCGGTGAAGGCATTCCCCGTGTTGCTCGAAGGCGGTGAATGTGAGGTGGTTGTGACCTAATTATTCACATACCAGAGGTGGAAAACGTGGCAATTATTCACCGTTGTAACCTAGCGCAGTGAATCTTCACCGCTTTGGCCAAACGCGGTGAAGTGATACTTTGCCTATTGGTAACTAGGGCGGGAAATCCTTCACCGCTTTTGTTTCAAGCGGGGATTGGACGACGATAATTTCACCGTGTTTCCCGAACGCGGGGAACATCTTTACTGCGTTTGATAAAGAAGGTGAATGTCAAACATGCATAGAATTTTTTTTTTAATTACATGTGTATTTTAGAAATTTTTTTCCTGACAATTGGTGGGAAACCTCTCATTGCCGTTTCATAATGAGAAATGATTCTTAATTTGGTGTTAGGTGCAAAGTCAGCGGTCAAACAAGGGAATCAAAGATCTCACAGTTGACCATTTTCTTTTGATTATCCCATTTCCCACGTGTACCTATGGTTCACTAGGGATTTAATATTCATTTCCATGGCTGAAAACAGGCAGGAGTAAAATTTTAATTAGTATAAAAAAAATGAAGGAACGTATATATTCATGATGACCCACGACACAAAAACGTTGCCGTTTCATATACACAAAAGCTTCAACGCTAAACTACAAACAACTATTAAGTTAAGTTATACTTGGCTCCACAATTGACGCAGCTCCTCCGCCGCAGGTAACTCTAGCATCATCCGGTCCAATTCCTTGAACGACATTCCTTTCGAAAAACGCCCATCTCCGGAACTTCCATTGCCGCCGACGACGGCGGAGGTAGTCGGCCTCTTTCGGTTTGTAGCGGCGGTGAAAGACGCCTCTTCTTGGATCCAAGAAACACAGGAATCCTTTCCCGTGAGCCTCTGAACCACCGACTTGAAGCTCTCGGGCTCGGTCACCACGTAACGCGTGTCGATGAGCACCACCTTCACGTCTCCACCACGACTTTCACCTCCCGCAGCGGCGATGATTGCCATTGGAATCGATCGATGAAGCAAGAATGAACGAACGACCGACAGGCGAGATTACAAGTCAAGGAGATAAGATTATTGGCTGCGGGAGAGAAGAGGCGGAAATGAATGAATCTGGGCGGATCGGTCACTGCTGAGCTAGCTATACGTTGTTTTTATAGCGAGAGAAAGGGTGATCGAGGAGAGTTTTGAAAGTTCGAGTTAATTAGTTGACCGTTTTGTAATAAGCTGCAGTCTTGAAGGAGACGCGTCGTCGGAGATGTGAGGGTCCCAACTGCGAATCTGACCGTTAAAACGAGGATGAATGGATTTGTTGGCGAACATGATTTGATGTGAGAATAGATCACAGCCAGGTAAGTATCGTAAAGCGCAAGTAGGTACGCAAGTCGTAGTCAATGCACGCAAGTTGGACTTCGGCAAACCAAAAAGAAAGAAGAAAAAAAAGTGTCATTCAATCATTTGTTGAATGGTTCTATGGCCAGATGGGGCCTTCTCTGTTAAGTCGGCTTATCACTTTACGGTTAATCTCGATCAACAGCGGGGGCGATGGGGTCGCTTGCTAGTTGGATGGATAGGGATAGCTGGATCCGGTTGTAGGAGGCTAACATTCCTCCGAAACTGAAAATTTTTGTGTAGCAAATCTTTAACAGAATCTTACCCACGACCGAAGCCTTGGTTGAGAAAAATGTGAACATGCTCGCCCGCTTTGCGGTGTGTTGGGCCGAGTCGGAGACAATGGAACATTTGTTTCTGGATTGTCCAGTCGCTCGTGCTCTCTGGGAACTGTCGGGTCTCGAGTACCTTGGGGAAGGCTTGCCTAGGCATACTTTCCCTCTTTTCCTGAAGAAACTGTTATCTCTGATACATCAACCGCCCATGTTCAAGGCAGTGATTGCAATCTTATGGCGGATTTGGCGATCCCGAAACTGGGTTGTCTTTGAGGGCAAGCAATTCGGGGTACTCGCCTTGATGCGCCAGTTTAATCAACAGGTTCAGGAATGAGTTAGTTTGCCGATGGACCGTATTCCCAGCGTTACAATGCTCCCACCCATTCTTTTACCCCGGTGGAGTCCCCGGTGGCTATTTGTATGTGGGATGGGGCCTCAAAGAGAGGTTCTCACGCGGCTGGCGGGATGGTTATCATGACCCATACTCGAGAGGTTCTTTCGGTGCGAGGAGTTCAATTCCCTTGCATTGATAATCCCATTGTGGTAGAATTACTTGCTCTTCGGGAGGGTGTTTCCTGGGCCTTGGGCCAGGGATTCTCGGAAATGAGGTTTGAAGGTGATGCCCAAGTCGTGATTGATAAGATTTTGCGAGGTGATACCAGGTACAACCAAATGGGGATTATTCTAGAAGAAGTTGTTCGAAGTTTTGCACTGCATGCAGGGTTCAGTATACGATCTGTAGGTCGGAGTCGCAATAGGGTAGCTCATTTGGTGGCTAGAAAGGCCTGTCTTTGTACTCGACTACGAGTCGTTTCTTTAATTTTCAGGTCTGGCTGAATTCCAGGATGTAACTATCTTTGTTAATCAATACATGATTATCTTTTGTAAAAAAAAAAAAAGGAATGGTTCTAGTGCAAATTTTTTTTTTGTTGAATGGGTAAAATGACCCAACCAACTGACCCCGACGCCCGTGTAGCAGTGCAGGCAGCTACAAGCCCAATTGTAACATGTGGTTACGAGGGGTGGAAATCGATATGGTATCGGTATCTCAGTACCAAATATAGAAATATTGAATATCGAATTACACCCCAAAATCAATCCTCAATCCCTAAATAATTTTGGTATCCCAATCCCAATCCCTAAATATTTCGGTATCCCAATCGGTATTATCGAAATATGAAATTAATTATCTTTATAAATAATAATTAAATATATAAATTAGATTTGATTGTTTAATTTATAACAAAGAGACTAAGCAAAGAGTCTTGAGTTTGCTAAGAGTTAGGATATGAACAAGGATAATGGAGGAGCGGTGACATCTCAAATTCTTGTCATCGGTAATCTTTAATTTGACGAATTGGAGGATGAAAGACGACTAATACTAGTGTTTGATTTTTGGTGTTATGAAAATAACAAGAGATTAGGTGAGAGACTAGAGTCACTTAAAGTGGAAAGTCAAAATTGAGTTGGATGGGGGCTTCTAAGTTATGATGGGGGCTTCTAAGTTATGAAAGAGTGAGGAAAGACCAAAGGTTGTGTGTTATATTTTATTAATTTTTAATTTTCGGTATTTTTTGGTATATACCGATCCCAATCCCGTAATCCCGAATACCACTCCAAAATGAATTCCAATCCAATCCCTAAAAAATAAGTCAATATTCGGTAATACCAAATAGTGATAATTTGATACGGTATTCAGTATAACCCAGATATCGTATCGAAACTTCTAGCGCTAGTTACGAGGGGTTCAATCAACGTACTTCTCATTCCTCGTACGCAGTTCATGGATGTATGAGGTACTAAGGGCCAAAAGTGAGAGAGTCGATCAACAATATACAAGGTCCTCAGAATTTTGAACATAATGTATATTAGGATATTGGAGATTTCAAAAAATACGCAAAATTAATTATTACTGTAATGATTAAATTACATGTTTGGTCACTTAAATTACAAAAATGTTTCACGTTTGCTACCCGAATTACCTTTCTTTCTTATTCGTCATTAACTTTATGAATTGTTTCACCGTTAGAGCATCTTCATCCCATTGCTTATTGCAATTGCTTATTGGGTGGAATCCCATGTGGCAATAACTTTAAACAATTGCAAGATTGTGAGACTTCTTTCTTATTTAGCAAGATTGCTAAATAAGCAATCTCTTCTTGCAATGCCACATAGGCAATTCGAACCCAGACATTATGCACTCAAATTCTTTCTTTCTTTTCTACCCACTTTGTAAACATAAATTATAAAACTTAATAGGTCTTGTGCTTATGATTTTTTTTATTTATTTAAAGTTGTTAATAAATTAAAAATCATATATTATATGTTAATTATATTGAATACGAAAACTTAATACAAAGAAATATAGTTAATGATTGAATATCCATGTACAAAACTAGAAAGAAATCACACTAAATGTATACACCATTCATATTGCATCAAAAAAGCAAACAAATTTATGCAAAGTACACACCCACAAAATTATTCAAGAACTTAATTAAAATCATACATAGGATTAGAAAATAATCAAATTATTACAAACAAGTTTGACTTCAGTTTTTACCCAAATACTTCTGCATTTGCAGAGAATATGACATTTTTTGCTCTTCCGTCATTGCTGTTGGATCCATCTCCATCAATTTGTTTGCTAACATATATCTGGCATGTTTTTCTTGCTTCCTCTCTCGTTCTTCCCTTTTTCTATGTCGTTCCTCCTGTAACTTTATCTTTGTCTCCATAGCCATATTGTATTTTTTTAATTCCTCAACCTTTTCCATTTCGAGGTTAAATTGATGTGGTGCTAGCTCAAGGCTTTCTACTAACTCAGAAGAAAAAAATATTTTTTTCCCCTTTATCGTTTGAAGCTTTCCTTCCTAGTGGACAAGAATGAGAAACAGCTTATGGGTCTTTAGTGGGTGGCATGCTTGCATTTGAAGATGAAGAGTTGTATTCGCCAGATGTAGTATTCTTAGTTCTCTTTGATCCTCTATCTTCCTCGAGACCAAATTTTTTTTCTTTGTCAATTTGGCTAGACCATTTCTCCTCATCCTTTAACACATCCCAAGCATGCATAAAATTGAAATCATTACCTTCTAATGCACAATATACGCCTTTGCGTTGTTCATTTTGTCTACCTCGTTTATCCCGCTTTCCCTTCGATGTTGAACTTGTGCATAATAACCGACGAACTTTGACACTGAACGGTTTAATCTAGTCCAACGATTCATCAGAATTAGCTTATTCCTTCGGCCTTGGGAGGTCTTACGATAGGTGTCATAGTATTCCCGAATGCGATTCCAGAAGTTGTTGTTGTTCTTTTGATTTATGCCAATTTCTCCATCTTTGATGATGTTGAGCCACACACTACATACCAAAGTGTCATCTTCAGTAGTCCAACGAACTCTTTCTTTCTTGCTTTCTTTGTGTCAAACTTGTTGGCCTTGACTGCAATATGCTGGATATTGAGGAGTTTGAAACTCAGTAGGAATGGTTTAAGGAATTGGAGCCTCATATGGTGATTGTTGAGAGGAATTATTTGATATTGACATTTGTAGGTAATTTTGTCTAAAATATGGATGGCTGGAATTTGGATACATGGGCATATGAAAATTTCCTTGACTTGAAAAATAAGGAGAATTCACATAAGGGATAGAAAAAGGGTTATCAGGAGATTGTGGTCTTGACTCTAATTACTTAGAACATTAGACGAACCTTTTGAGAAGGGAAAAAATGGATTGTACGATGGACGTGATGAATCAATTTCTTCCCAAACAATGAAAAGTTTGAAAGAAGAGGAGAATAAAGAAACGACTAGTAATGTGTAATAGGTTGAGAGCATTACCTATTTGTTCATGACTCCACACTATATATAGATAAATAAAATAAATCTAAAAAGAACAATGCTATCACTTCCTTGCTAGCTCACTCACCAAAATAATTGAGTAGTGAATTGTCACTTCCCTGTCAGCAAAATAATTGATCATTTTTGAACCGTTGGTTTGAGTACTGAATTGTCAAGTACCTACTAATTGATCATTTTTGAACCGTTGGTTTGAGTAGTGAATTGTCACTTCCCTGCCAGCAAAATAATTTAACATTTTTTTACCACCCAATGTCATAGAATTGTCACTTCATTATCAGGACACTCTGCAAATTCATTGAATACCCTTGACCGTTGAATAGGCTAGTAACGTGTATTATTGTCATTCTTTGTGGCTTTGCAGGAGTAGGCATAAAAGACAAGTCTTTTCCTTTATCACTTTATCTCCATTATGTAGCATGCTATTAACTTTGTCAGAAGTAGTGTATAGAGACACCCATTTTATCACTTTAAAATAA